TCCACACCTCCATACCTCCACACCTCCATACCTCCATACCTCAACACCACCACACCTTCACACCCCCATACGTCCACACGTCCATACCTCCACACCTCCATACCTCCATACCTCCACACACCTCCACACCTCCATACCTCCACACCTCCACACCACCACATCCCCATACCTCCACACGTCCATACCTCCACACCTCCATACCTCCATACCTCCGCACACCTCCATACCTCCGTACCTCCACACCTCCACACCTCCATACCTTCACACACCTCCATACCTCCGTACCTCCATCTCTCCATACTTCCATACCTCCACACCTCCATACCTCCATACCTCCACACACCTCCACCCCTCCACAACTCCAAACCTCCACACCTCCACATCTCCACACCCCCATACCTCCACATGTCCATACCTCCACACGTCCATACCTCCATACCTCCATACCTCCACACCTCCACCCCACCATACCTCCATACCTCCACACCTCCATACGTCCATACCTCCAAACCTCCACACCTCCAAACCTCCATACCTCCACACCTCCATACCTACACACCTCCAAACCTCCATACATCCATACCTCGACACCTCCATACCTCCACACACCTCCATACCTCCATACCTCCCCACCTCCACACCTCCACACCCCCATACCTCCACACGTCCAAACCTCCACACCTCCATGCCTAGATACCTCCACACACCTCCGCACCTCCATACCTCCATACCTCCATACCTCCATACCTCCATACCTCCACACCTCCACACCTTCACACCCGCATTATTCCACACGTCCGTACCTCCACACCTCCATACCTCCACACACCTCCACACCTCCATACCTCCACACCTCCACACCTCCACACCCCCATACCTCCACACGTCCATACCTCCACACCTCCACACCTCCATACCTCCACACACTTCCATACCTCCGTACCTCCACACCTCCACACCTCCATACCTCCACACACCTCCATACCTCCATACCTCCACACCTCCATACCTCCATACCTCCACACACCTCCATACCTCCACACACCTCCATACCTCCATACCTCCACACCTCCACACCCCCATACCTCCACACGTCCATAACTCCACACCTCCATACCTCCATACCTCAACACCTCCACCCCACCATACCTCCACACCTCCACACCTCCACACATCCATACCTCCATACCTCCAAACCTCCATACTTCCATACCTCCACATCTCCATACCTCCACACACCTCCATACCTCCATACCTCCAAACCTCCATACCTCCATACCTCCACACCTCCATACCTCCATACCTCCATACCTCCATACCTCCATACCTCCACACCTCCACACCCCCATACCTCCACACGTCCATACATCCACACCTCCATGCCTCCATACCTCCACACACCTCCACACCTCCATACCTCCATACCTCCATACCTCCACACTTCCACATCTTCACACCCCCATGATTCCACATGTCCATACCTCCACACCTCCATACCTCCATATCTCCACACACCTCCATACCTCCACACCACCACACCTCCACACCCCCATACCTCCACACGTTCATACCTCCGTACCTCCGAACATCCACACCTCCACACCTCCACATCCCCATACCTCCACACGTCCATACCTCCACACCTCCATACCTCCATACCTCCGCACACCTCCATACCTCCGTACCTCCACACCTCCACACCTCCATACCTTCACACACCTCTATACCTCCGTACCTCCATCTCTCCATACTTCCATACCTCCACACCTCCATACCTCCACACACCTCAACCCCTCCATAACTCCAAACCTCCATACCTCCACACCTCCACACCCCCATACCTCCACATGTCCATACCTCCACACGTCCATACGTCCATACCTCCATACCTCCACACCTCCACCCCACCATACCTCCACACCTCCACACCTCCATACGTCCATACCTCCAAACCTCCACACCTCCAAACCTCCATACCTCCATACCTCCATACCTACACACCTCCAAACCTCCATACATCCATACCTCGACACCTCCATACCTCCACACACCTCCATACCTCCATACCTCCCCACCTCCACACCTCCACACCCCCATACCTCCACACCTCCATACCTCCACACCTCCACACCTCCATGCCTCCACAAATCTACACACCTATAAACCTCCATACCTACATACTTCCATACCTCCACACCTCCACACCTCCACACATCCACACCTCCATATCTCCATACCTCCATACTTCCATACCTCCATACTTCCATACCCTCTCACCTCCATACCTCCACACCTCCATACCTCCATACCTCCAAACTTCCATAACTCCATACTTCCACACCTCCATACCTCCACACCTCCATACCTCCATACGTCCACACCTCCACACCCCCACACTTCCATGCCTCCACACCTCCACACCTCCACACCTCCGTACCTCCATACTTCCAAACCTCCAAACCAACACCTCCATACCTCCACACCTCCATACCTCCACACCTCTACACCTCCACACCTTCACACCCCCATACCTCCACACGTCCATACCTCCACACCTCCATACCTTCATACCTCCACACACACCTCCACACCTCCATACCTCCACACCTCCACATCCCCTTTCCTCCACACGTCCATACCTCCACACCTCCATACCTCCATACCTCCACACACCTCCATACCTCCGCACCTCCACACCTCCACACCTCCATACCTCCACACACCTCCATACCTCCATACCTCTACACCTCCACACCCTCATAACTCCACACGTCCATACCTCCACACGTCGACCATACCTCGACACCTCCATACCTACACACCTCCAAACCTCCATACCTGCATACCTCCACACCTCCATACCTCCACACACCTCCATACCTCCATACGTCCACACCTCCACACCTCCACACCCCCATACCTCCACACGTCCATACCTCCACACCTCCACCCCTCCATACCTCCACACCTCCATACCTACACACCTCCAAACCTCCATACCTCCATACGTCCACACCTCCATACCTCCACACACCTCCATACCTCCATACCTCCACACCTCCACACCTCCACACCCTCATAACTCCACACGTCCATACCTCCACACGTCGACCCCTCCATACCTCGACACCTCCATACCTACACACCTCCAAACCTCCATACCTGCATACCTCCACACCTCCATACCTCCACACACCTCCATACCTCCATACGTCCACACCTCCACACCTCCACACACCCATACCTCCACACGTCCATACCTCCACACCTCCACCCCACCATACCTCCACACCTCCATACCTACACACCTCCAAACCTCCATACCTCCATACGTCCACACCTCCATACCTCCACACACCTCCATACCTCCACACCTCCACACCTCCACACCTCCACACCCCCATACCTCCACACGTCCATACCTCCACACCTCCACCCCTCCATACCTCCACACCTCCATACCTCCACACACCTCCTTACCTCCATACCTCCACACCTTCACACCCCCATTTCCGAGCTTCCATACCTCCACACCTCTGTACCTCCATACCTCCAAACCTCCATACCTCCACATCTCCATACCTCCACACCCCCATATCTCCACACGTCCATACCTCCACACCTCCACCCCTCTATACCTCCATACCTCCACACCTCCACATCTCCACACCTCAAAACCTACACACCTTCATACCTCCACACCTCCATACCTCCACACCTCCATACATCCACACCTTCACACTTCCATACCTCAACATCTCCACACCTCCACAGCTCAATATTCCACTCCTCCGTACATCCATACCTCCACACCTCCAAACCTCCATAGCTGCACACCTCCATACCTCCACACGTCCATATCTCCATACCTCCACACCTCCATACCTCCACACCTCCATACCTCCACACCTCCAAACCTCCATACCTCCACACCTCCATACCTCTACACCTCCACACCTCCATACCTCCACACGTGCATACGCCCACACCTCCATACCTCACCACCTCCATACTACCACTGCTTCACGCCCAACAACATTATCTTATCCCCCTCCAATAGGTTCCGCTCCCAACTCTCTTTCCCTTTGCTCTTACCCCGTTACCTCCTTTTACCCCCTGTGTTTCCATCGCCCCTGTTCTCAAGTGAAGTTTGATTACTAGGAGATTCCCAGTATTCTGCACCCTTGCCCCTTGTTATACATACGTGTTTCCCATTCTTGAGTATGTAGCTTCTATTCGTTTCTTTCCTTTCACGTTTTTTTTTGCGCCCTGAATGTATATCTCAATGCTAATGTGTTTGGTCCTCGTTTTTCGCGATTAGCATCTCTCACGGATCCACTGCATTCGTCATTGTAGTAACTTTGTATGGTTTCATGCGTCTTACTTCCCTATGTTACCCTTCTTACAGTTGCCATTTTCAAGCTGTCACATTTCAAGCTCCCATTTACTACACCCGTCGGCACTAGGAATGAGCGAAGAGGCAACGCGATCTCTCCACGACGTATGTTTACATGATAACTCTAGGAAGCAATATTGAATGCACTTTTTCAATGAGTGTTATGTGTAAGCAGGTATACTTGAGCAATAATTTGTTATAATATTTTAAACCTTTTGTACTATTTACCCGTAATGTTGTCCTGAGTGCCGTTCCTCAATGTGCAATCATCCCCCAAGCATTAGCCATACCATTTTGTTTTGCCGAATCCGTCGATAAAGCCAGATCTACCACAATGGTTATACCACTGAAAAGGTATAGTGGTTACAGCAAGGGCTATACGACTGAAAAAGCTGTAGTGGCTACAGCAATGCTTGTACTACTGAAAAGGCCGCAGTGGCTGTAGCGAGGCCTGTACCACTCAAAAGGTTGTAGTGGTTATAGCAATGGTTAATCAATGGAAAAAATAAAAGTTGTCGTGGCTATGACAAATGTCATACTACTGAAAGAGTTGTAATGGCTACAGCAATGGCTGCAACACCCTAAAAGCTGTAGTATAAGCCAGGGCGATAGCCAACACCTCGACAGAATGACTAAGTGAGATACAGGCGTGCGATGCGCAGCATCTTTCTCTCTTTCTCTCTCTCTCTTTCTTTCTCTCTCTTTCTCTCTCTCTCTTTCTTTCTCTCTCTTTCTCTCTCTCTCTCTCTCTCTCTCTCTCTCTCTCTCTCTCTCTCTCTCTCTCTCTCTCTCTCTCTCTCTCTCATCTCTATTTTCTCACATTCCCTTGGCCCCCATTTCTCCTCGTACCTGTCTATTTCTCAAATCTCTTCCTTGTTCTCCACCCTATCTTCTCTCGCTCCTTGTTCCTCCTTTTCCTTCCTTACTTTCCGTTCCCATAATCCCAGGAACTTCATTTGTCTGCGACCGTTGCTCAAGCAACCTGCCTCTCTTCAGCAATTCACGCTGTCCAAGCATTGCAGCATGAGTCAACATCATGGCCTCATCATCTTCAAGCCACGGAGCTATCATTACTGGAGCTATAGTGGAAGGTGAGTTCAAAAATTTATATAAGCTACAGCTTTGCAGTATTACAGGAGATGGGAATTGTTTGTATCGGGCTATGTCCAAGTGGCTACATGGCACACAAAACCAGCATGCGCGTGTGAGACAAGAGATTGTGCATCACATAGCGATGAACTGGGATAACCAGGAGTATAATTATGCAAACGGGGCTAGATTCGGCCACGATAAAGAATTCGCAACGCGAGAGGATTACTTTGCATACGCTTCTCGTGATACAGGATGGGGTTCAATAAGCGAAGTGAAAGGATTTTCTGTGGTGTTTAACACTTCTGCAATTATTTGGACGAGACCTACAGAATACGACGCTTGTTTTTGTGCAACTTCCGGTATGGAATCTCGAGGAGTGATACATTTGCATTATGATTATGCTCACAAGCATTATTCTCTTTTACTACCTGCGGAAAACGGGGTTCCGTATGGTACTGGCTACGTGCCAGGTGAGAATTTTATTGAGCCAAATGAGTCATTGCATCAAGATTCCTCCTCCAGCAATAGCAGCGCAGGTTCGTTTATCGGAAACAGACCCATGGGTGTTTCACTTCATTGCGCTTCAAGCACATCTGATTTTGTCAATTGCCATACAGGCATTGGTGTAAGCACATCAGGTACGCTTGATAGAATACGGCAAGAGCACCATTGCGGCAAGCGAGCACGAGAAAGGAAGGATGTCCATGTTGACGAAACGACCACATGGAGAAAAACTGATTAAGAATAAGAATAAGAAAAATCTTAGACGCCGGGGTTGTCAAACACAACAACTGGCAAAGGCCGTATCAAACGACAAATCCATGTTTTGTGTTTGTGATAAAATACCAAAACATGATAATAGTGCCAATGAGCATTACACCGGAATAAGATCTACCGCGCACGGTTTTCGTTTTACAGTTGGGCATAATGGTAAACGATACACGTACTCTGGTTTTATGCATGCAATGGATGCGGCATATGCACGTTCATACTTTATATGCCGTAAAATTGGCATGCACACAAATTACGTAATGGAAGTAAATCATGGATTGCACGCTGAGAACGGTGATATTATCTCAAATTCAATCCTTGATCTAAAATTCAAGAGTGTGACAATCGAGTCGATGCCACGCAAAAAGAGTGAGAATCGTGAAGTTGCAAAGTTTCTTAAAATAAGCACGTATGGTCCAGATGTTGAGTGCACATTGTGCGGCACTTTAAATTTTGGATGCAACATCAAGTCACGTCAAGGCTTGGATTTAAATGAACGTGTTTGTCGAAGCTGTGCAACGTATAAGAAACATGGAACTGTACCGCCATTATCTATCCTTAACGGTATTGGCATTCCGTTCCAGCCGAAGGAGCTTCTTGGCTTGACGAACCTAGAAGAGCGTCTAGTAAGTCCGCGGATACCTTTTATGAAAATACACTCATTGTGTGTTGGAAAGCAGTATGGTATTATAGGCGGGGCCATAAACATTCCTGTTGAGATTTATAAATGGTGAACTCGTTACCAAGAACGTGCGATGATACACACACCGTTACAGTGCATTTAAAACGTAAATTGGAATATAAAAATAGTGCATTTGAAGAAAACGTCCGTCCGACAAAAGTGTTTAAAGCTTTGCAATTTTTGTGCAAACAGACATTGTTCGTGGAGAAAAATATTCAACTGGATGAAGCAAATGTACGATTATTAGAAAATACTAGCAAGGGATCATCATTGAGTAATAGCAAAGATTCAGATGTCGACGGTGCCATTACAACTTCAACAAATTCGAATGAAAGTGATGAGATCGATAAGCACAATGTTGGGGTGTTGGATACAATTTTATTGCAAGAACCCTTCTACCAACAACCATCTCAACCCACGGTGCAAATTGCCCCAGGCGAACTGTCAAGGCCAACATCAATTCTATTTGACAACGATGTCGAAGAGCTAAGTTTCCCTTCGATATACTGTGGTCAACGAAGAATCAAATGTCTTTGAGACAACGAATAAGGCTGTAGAGAGCGACGTTGAAAGTGTTGACATTGCAAATGAGTTGAATCTTGAAAAAAATGTACGACGAGCCAACGATGTTTTTTCTTACGTGCTCATTAACGACTACGAATATATGCAACTTGAGAGGTCATTAAACCCCGAACAACGTGCGGTATGTGATCATATTGTACACCATATTCGGTTTCAAGGAAGTCCGTTACGGTTGTTCATAACTGGTGGAGCAGGTGTTGGCAAGTCAGTGTTGATCAATGTTGTGACCGAACGGTTGTCTAGAATATTCAACTCATCCATAAGCTGCAACCCTACGTCAATTAAAGTGTTGAAAATGGCGCCCACAGGGGTAGCAGCATTCAACATAGGTGGATACACGATACACAATGCACTTATGATACCGATTTCTCAAAATCGAACAATTTCTAACTTATCATCTGATCGATTAAACACGTTAAGGTCAAATTTTGGTGATGTCAAATTGGTCGTTGTCGATGAGATTTCGATGCTCGGTAAGCATACCTTTCATTGGTTAGATTGGCGATTAAGAGAGTTGTGCGGGGCGGCACATATACCCTTTGGGGGGTTGCACGTTATATTAGTTGGTGACTTCTTTCAATTGCCTCCTATTGCTGACAAATATTGCTTTGCTGAAAATAATCCTCACAGTGTCATCGGTAAGGATAACGTGTGGGAGTTGTTTAAAATGGTTGAACTTGTGACGATCATGCGCCAAAAGAACGAGCAAATGTTTGCAGAACGTCTTAATCGTTTGCGAGAAGGAAAACATACGAAAGATGACCTCCTTTTTTTCACATCCATGAACAGACATATCGACAACTTTGCATCCCTTCAACATTTGTTTTCTAGAAATGTCGACATTGATGCACATAATGCCAAAATGTTTGAGATATCTACCCAAGAGAAACATATCATACCAGCTCACGATCTTCACTTGTTTGATAAATCTGCAACTCGATGTAAAGGGCCATCAAAATATGCCTCCAAGAATCCAAGGAAGACATCAGGTCTGTACAATTTTTTGCATTTGTATGTTGGTTGTCAAGTTCACGTTGTGTTGAACATTGATACGGTCGACGGTCTTGCAAACGGGACTCCTGGAGTCATAAAAGGCTTCTCTCGAGAAGAAAATGGTGAGGTTTCTGTCATTTGGGTACACTTTGACAACGATCGCGTTGGTAAGAAAGCTCGACGCAACAGTGCTCCCTTGTTTTCCGAATGGCGTATCACCGATGCAAGATTGACTCCCATTGTGCGGATCGAGCGGCGATTCTCCATCAACCATAGGAACAACGAAGTTTCAAGAATGCAGTTCCCACTTCGAGTAAGTGCAGCTATTAGTATACATCGAAGTTAAGGATCAACATTTGTTTCGGGCGTTGTTCATTTTCATCGCCAAGTTTTCCATCACATGGCATACGTTGCGTTGAGTAGATTTAAGTCGCATGAAATGCTCTTTTTGGAGGATTTCTCTGAACACAGTGTTCACATTCACAACGACGTAATAAGAGAAATGATCCGTTTGCATGATAATAAATTGCGTATGTCTCCGATTCCAGTAGAGGAAATCGCAACAGCTCGATGTGAGGGGAGGTTTTATCTCCATAACATACGCAAGTTTCGGCGTGATTGTGCTTTGATTAACGCAATTCTCGCAAAATCTTTCGATTTTATTTTGTTGATTGAAACACATCTTTCGCCTCATGATTCTCATGGTTCCATGTTTGGAGACTGTTCGGTATTCAGGCAAGATTGGGATTCTGGTGGAATGCTTGTTGCATATAACGGTACTCGTGTTTCCGTCTTCTCTCACGTGATAAGCGACAATGTTCAGATTATTGTTTTGCATTATACTGCACAATCAAACACATATGTCCTATGTGTGTATCGTAATCCAGCATCATCTCATGCAAGTTTCTACGATTTGTTGCAACAAGTCGTTGCCATGATCCCAAGTGCCAAAATTATGATAATTGGCGATCTCAATTTTGACGATTCCAAATCGATGCCGCTTCGATTGCTCAACTTTATGAAGTCTCTCTCTTTGTCTCAATGCGTTCAAGCTCCAACAACAATACGCAACACCTTGATTGATCATGTGTGGACCAATCGTTGTCATTTTGATGTTCATGTGCATGTTGGTGAGACATATTTTAGTGATCATTTTCCCGTATACGTGTTAATAAAGTAACGTATTTGTTGGCGTCGGCTTGCAGGATCGATTTCATCTTCTCACGATTTTCCTGAGGTATGAACATACGCATGGTTCATTTGGTTTTCACGATCCTGTCAGTTTGAACAAACCGTTGTAAGTGTTATGTATCTAGAAAAGCGTGAATATTTCTAGTCATGTAATCATGTTGTTTGCCACGTTGTTATGATCCAGAGCTGTTTGTTTGCCGTTTCTCCTAAATATTCTCCTCCATTTTGTGCATGCTCTCCTATGTGTTTTTAACCAATCTCACCAATAGTTTTCCCCCATCTACTTCGTACTCATCCAATCCCCCATGGCCTAACTCCCCCCTTCCTATATTCTTTCCTGCCAGTGCTGACCCCTACCCATAATTGTCGTTCAACATATTGTGCAACATTTTTGCCTTAGTTTCCCCATTCTTTCCACCCCATCCTATTCTTCGCATCCCTCCTCTGATTGTTTTGAAAAATCTCCCCCTCCATTCCATCCCATAAGTGGTCGTTTCCACACCCCTTCGTCTGTTTTGCAATCGTAATCTCAATGCAGCAAAATATGTTCATCTTTTGCACTCCACCATTTCTTCATGTATCATTCAACTTTTGCATGTTTAACCACTTCAAAACTCATCCATTTTCTTTGCCCAAATCCAGGAAATAGCTCTCTGCAAGTTTGAAGAGCTTGTGGCCATAATTGATCACAAGCCTGAGAACTTCATGATACAAGCGATGGTTGTCGGCGCTCGGCCTCACACTGATAACGATGCTCGTACTGGTTTCTATATGCCTGCAAAGTTGCTTCTTTTGGATGCTGATGGAGCGATCATGGAGCTGATATTCCGGGTCGATAGAACCACATCCACCCCTTGGACCATAGAAAAGTGTTTTAGGATTTTGGATCCGTTCGTCTTGGGGACGACATACGACTTTGCAGGCATCACATGCGAACGTCCTAAGGACCCAAGGTGAGCTTTCGGTATCTAAGCAAGTTGTTCCATTGAACCTCACATTAGCATCATCACTTCGCGATTTGTTGTACAAGTAACCGATATATGTTGTCAAAACAATCAACATCATGCTTGTATGTGACCATTTTCTCCTTACCATGTTACACATATGCATACTAGGTACACTATCGGAGGTCTCAACAGAGAGTTCGTTTGGGACTATAATTTGTCGCGTGCACGTCCGACAGCTTCTGGAAACGTCATTCGTCTTAATACCTTCTCCCCCACCTTGCTTTATGAGGTGTCTTCGGCGACCCAGAAGGTATGTACGAAAGATGTGCATTTTGTATGTAAATGTTGTACCGGTATTCTTATCAGTATATTACCCTTCCTAAGACATCACAACTTTGGAGATTCTTAAGTTTCATAACCTTTGAAGTCTTTTCGTTTCACATGAATCTCCATATTCTCTACTTCCTTATATTCCCATACTTGCAGGTCTCTGCATTCCACATGGAACTTCAGATAGTCAAGGAGGAAAAAGTCGGAAGGTTGACAAAACTCATATGTCTTGTTCGTGATCAGAGCGGTCGATTCGGGCTGACGGCGCTTGGGTCAACTGGCGACTGGATCTCTTTCATCATGAAAAGAGAGAAGCAGACACCAGGAACTGATACATTGGAGACATCCATCGTTTTGTGGATAACAGAGCTATACATGAGTGAATGTCAAATCATGACAACCCAAAGGTTTGTGGTTTAAAGAAAAAGGTCTGCTATTCTCTCTAATCTCTTTCCTTTGATCATGTGTCTTATTTCATTTTAAACCGTTCAAATCGCAAATGGTATTTCTTTGTATGATTTCAAAATATTTGGTTCTTTTTAGGCAATTTCTTATAGCCTATTCAATACTCCATGTTCCATTCGACTTATGTCCGCAATCCTTTCAATATTGGTTCCTCCAATCCCTCTATTCTTTATGCCTCAACCTTTACTCCTATCCCTAAACCTCATCCTACATCCTCTAATATTTTTTCCTACACATATTTATGAAAATATATCTTTAGTAGCTGGTTTTGTTGTCATTTATTTCATATTTACAGGACAAGAGTTATCCAAGTAAAAGATGCAGAGATGGCTGACCGCATCAAGCTTGCGGATACTCCTAATGAACCGACATGCCAAAACGTCGGTCACGTCAAAGCGTAAGTGAGAGTTGGCAAATGATACTCATACGGCTACTTCCTGGTTGCATGCGTGATCGTTTATGCATATACTAGATGCTTTCGTAGCGCAATATATACCATCAATCAATGATGATAATTTGGTTTCTTTCCTTATCCCAATCCCATCTCCCAACCAAATCCAAAAGTCTGACAGCTGTGGAGGACTATGCTTGGGCAAAAAATATTGAGGTGACTTTCACTATCACATTGGAGATTCGGGAGGTTCGCGCCATGCCCGGCCAATTCTGTAACTACACTTCACCCGACGGAAGCGCAACTGTATGTGGATTTCTTGTGGTCTTTGACTGCACCGCCAAGAAGTACAAATGCAGCATGCAACACTTCTCAACAACTTCCAGCGACAACCCCAAGATTGTGGTTGACTTTGATACACATGGTACGTAGACCATTTCTTGGTGTTACTACTTTGAAGTCACTTACACTTATCACTTATGGCATGCCGAGGCTGCTCTTCTTTATGCAATACCATAAACTCCCCCCTATTATACATCATGTCGCATGCATATACGTAGCTGGCAAGGATTCTCGCACGGGGGTCCTCGCCACAGTGAGTGCCGAGGTGATCGAGACAATCTTTGGTAGCTCCGGTTTTAAGGACTACATGAATGCGAATGCAGACAAGAAGATGGAAATACTGGCTGCTCTGCACAAACATTGGCGAGCTGAGGTGAGATCCTATTGTTGTACACAAGGTGTGATGCTTTTTATATGTTTAGAATATCTTCGTCCTAATTCATTTATAGATTAAGCTACATGTAATGCTTTTGCTCAAAATGCCTTATTGCTACTTCATTTTTTATTCTATTCCCAACCAATATTATTGGTTTACGCTTCGATTGCACCATGGCACTATTGTAATGCATTTGTTTCTTATAACCTAATGCAGATGGGGGTAATGATAGCTGGGGAAGCAATCCAGAGGAAAATCACCTCAATTGAATGGGGGCCAGCGAACGTGAGCAGCTTTTTTGTTCTATTATATCTTTGTACTTTCTCAAATTGCAAACTCAAATCTATACCCATTCAGACCTGTAATTTTGATTGTCTTTATGAAACCAGGTTGGAAATATGGCAACAAGGAATTCCAACAACAAGCGCATTGCGTCAAGCAATACACCAACTGAGCCTGGAACGCCT